TGCTTCAGATGTGGCAAGCAGGGACATCGGGTTGCAAATTGCCCGCAGCCGGACCCTAGAGCTCAGAATGCTCAAACTGCATCTCAACAAGGTTCTACGAATCAAGAGGTGCAAAAACAGAATGTCGGGGTTAAGACAAGAGCCCAACAGGAGAGAGTTCATGTGATGACTCACCAGGAAGCTGCGGCTACCAACGTAATCATGGGTACTTGCCTGTTAATTCTGATTATGCACATGTTTTATTTGATTCAGGTGCATCACACTTTTTATTGCTTGATCATATGCTTTGACACAAGCTTTACCTGTTGATAATTTTGATTTTGAACTGCATGTGAACACCCCTTTAGGAGGGGTGATGACAATTAGAGATGTGTGTAGGACGATAGATATTATATTGATGGTAAATAATTAAGTGCTAGCTTGTTTGTTTTAGATACCTCAAATTTTGACATCATTCTGGGAAAAATTGAGTCCGAGATATATTGGACCATATGCTATCCCAGAAAGAATTGACGAGATAGAAGGTTAGCCATTTCTAATTGGATATAAGTTTTAGATTTTATCTCCTAGATTTGAGTTTTAGGGACAAAACTAATTTTTAGGAGGGGTGGATGTAATATCCCAAAATTTCTAAAATATTAAAGTTGAGTTGGGGACTAATTTGTGAGGAAATATTATTAATGGCCTTAATAATAGAAACTTTCAAAGTTCAGGGACTTAGAAGAAAGGAAATAGGATAAGGATTGACTGGTTTTTCCCTTTTTTTTTTTTTTTCTTTTCTTTTCTTTCTTTCTTCTTCCCACGCGTGTCCTGCTCTTCCTCTTCCTCCCGACCCTCTGCCACCCGACGAGCTCCCCAGCTACCGCGACCCATTTCCGGCCGGGAACACCGGTAAAACTTGGGGATTTCCCCTTCTTTTCTTGTTCTAGAACACCTATTAAGCCCCGAATTTTTCCAGATTTGCTCTCTTCCCTCTGCCGTGAGTTCCCTGCTGTTGGGTGTGAATTTCTGGGCCTTTCCGGTAAGCCACATTCATGAACTTCATTTTTTCAGCTTGATTTAGCTTGGGTTCATTTCAAATCTGTTGTTTTTTCAAATTTTGGTAGCCCCGTGAGCTTCCCCTCCAACTCCCGCCGACTGCCAAGCTCGCTAGACCCGATTTGCTGGCCTGAAATTCGGGTAGGTAGCAGCTCTCCCAGTCTGGATTTTTAATCCATTAATTGCTGCCCTGTGTTGTTGCAATTTTCTGTGTATTGTGGAAGGAACCCGTTGGTTGCTACCCCTTGTGTTGTCCGAATTTTCTGCTGGAAATAGGAGGGGATTCGGCAGTAAATGGGACCATGATTTTGCTTAATTCATGTAGGAATTAGTTTAATTAGGCCGCTGTGATGTTTTGGAGAGAAAAACTCCCATGTGTGTGAGTTGTGGTTTGCCAAGCCATGCTCTCCATGTGCTGCCCGTGAGTAAATGGGAAAATTTGATGTGTATTATGCAAATATATATAAATGCACAATTGATTTTGTGCTTGATTTCGGATAGAGAAATGAATAAATAAATAAATAGGGTATTATGGGGGCTAATTGCCGGCTAAATTGGGAAAGGTTTAAATATGTCGTTTTATATGGGTATTAATTTTGGAAATATTTTGATTAGGTACTTGATTATTCTGCACTCTAGCACTTGAGATTAGTGTTCTGTTTGGTGCGATTGAGGTAAGTAAATTATGGTAATGCCCTTCGATTTGAAAGCATGTTTTAAATTGTTTTTGAGATGATGGCAAGGTTTAAATTGATTTTATTTGCACCGAGCATGATTGGTTTGAAATGAAATTGTTTTCATTTGTATTGAGTAGAGCATGCCTATTTGGAATTGACTGAACTGCTTTGATGAACTGAGAATTTTGTAAATGCTGAGTTTTTCTGTTAAATCCATGCTCACATGGAAATTTTTTGGTTTGTTTTTGAAATTTGAGATTGATTGTGAATTACTGATTTTTCTGTATATCCTGCATGGTTTTGTCTCTGATATAGTCATGATTATTGACGCCCGCTAGTGGGAGTTTGCAAACGCTAGCACATGTCAACATGTATTTCTGTAGAACCGATTCATCCTGCCAATGGGGTTAAACGTTGGTTATTACTGACGCCTGCCAGTGGGAGTTGTTAAACACTGGTACTTCTGTAACCCTGCCAATGGGGTTAAACATTGGTTATTATTGACACCTACCAGTGGGAGTTTGTTAAACACTGGCCATGACTTATAGATGAAACTACTGATGAGTTTTATTATGCATGAATGGTTTATCATTGAAAGTTCTGTTATGCTTACATGGTTTATCTGGCATGCTTAAAATTTTTTATCAAGGGCTATCCATATTTTACTTACTGAGATATTTTATCTCACATAGTTTTTCTTGTTCACCATTTTAGGTAGTGATACCTGACACAAGGGGAGCCAAGGGAGTAACGAGCTAGACGGCTATGCATTATTTTGGATTTAGATCTTTTGGAGCTAGGTCGCTAGTCTCACATGGTTGACCCAAATAACCATTTTTATGTACAGAGTTTCCTTGGTTATAGCCATAATTGTTTATAAACTGTTGTACATCTTGACTAGTAAAATTTTTGGTAATGAAAAGTTAGATTTTACTTGAGTTTTAGATTTGAATTATCTAATTTGGAAATTAAGAACTTAGTAAGTTCCAAACCTTGTGCATTTGTGGGACCTTCTTATAAGTGCATGGTGTCTGCCACGTTCCCAGATTTGGGTTCTGGGGCGTGACAGATTTAGTGGTATCAGAGCCTAGGTTTAAATTAAATACCTAGGATTTGTTTAGAATTTGGCTAGCCAAGGGATCATAGGAATGTGGTGAGGCATGAGAGTGGGGTTGATTAAGAGTGTTTATTTGATTCTTTTTATGTGTGTTGGAATTATTAATTATTATGTTATTTAGTCTCGGAAGTGGGAACTTGCCAGGTCATTCTCAGTTAGGGCACTTGATTAATGATCTATAAACCTTTTGTGTGATTATAGATGGCTTCGAAACGGTGTGGGCGCCCGAGGGGTGGCTGTAAGGAC